TCCTCCTGCCTCTGCCTCCCAAGTGCTGGGATTAAAGGTTGGCACCACCATGACTGCCTTCTAGGGTATTTTTCTCTCTTGTTTGATAGTGAATGTTTCAGACTTCTGAGCATGTCGGCATTTTTTCTATATTTTTTCTTTTATTAAAAATAGGCTTTTTATACAGAAATTATAGTTCCCCTGTCCCAACTCCCCCAGACCCTTTCCATGTCCCCTCCCATCCAAATCCACACCCTGTCTCTCATTTAAAACCCAGGCATCTAAAAACTAATAACAAAATGAGTTAAGATCAAACAAAATCAAGCAAACCAGAATAGAATAAAACATACAGAAGAAAAAAAAGCCAAAGAAACACATAATAGAGACTGAGGCAGCCACAGAAAACCCGTAAAATCATAAAACCAAAAACGGTCACATATATGCAAAGGACCTGAAAGGTAGAAAAGTCCCAACAAAATGTTATGAGACAGAGAACCCCTTCCCCCATATGCCATTGAATTCCTTTTTGTGTTGGTCATCTACTGGCAATAGGACCAGGCCTTAAGAGTGGTTCTTATGCCCAGTGAGACTCTACTGGAAAGACTAATCTTCCCTTTGTGAGCAGTTATCAATCGCAGTTGGTTTCTGGTTAGGGTTGGAGGCTAGTCCACCTTCCCTCTCGGGGCTAAGACCTCATCTGGCTATCTACCTATGCAGGCACATGAATGCTGCCAGTCTCTGGGAGTTAGACATCAGTCCTGTTGTGTCTGGCAATCTTTGTTTCCTTGGTGTTCTCCATCCCCGTTGATTCTTAACAATTATTCCACCTTCTCTTCTCCTGAGCAAACTGAGCCCCGAGGGAAAGGATTTGTTGGAGACATCCCAATTAGGACTATTTCATAGTCTTCCACTCACTGCACATTGTTTAGTTGCAGGAGGAAACTTCTCTGGTGATGGCTGAGGAAGACATTGATCTATGAATATAGATGGATGTCATTAAGCGTCTTTTTTTTTTGGGGGGGGTGAGATCATTTATCAGAACAGTAGTATTTGCTTTTCCCCTAGATCCCTGGCCTACCTAGTCTCAGGTTCTTGGCCACCCAAGCAGCGCTGGACATGAGTTCTATTCTATGGAGTAGTGGGCCTTACATCCAATCAGATACTAGTTGGCCACTCCTGCCAGCTTTGTGCCACCATGTCACTAGCATATCTTGCAGGCAGGTCAGCACTGTAGAGCAGAGGGTTTGTGTTTGTACTGGTGTTTACTTTTCTCCTGTGTTCGTGAGCAGCATAGTGAAGGCTCTAGGGAGGCATGAGCTTGACCTCTCCACATTCAATGAATTGGGTGTTTTCGGCAATAGGGCCTTATTGTCAGTTTATAGAGAGCAACCAGTAGCTTTGGCAATAGCCTGGGTTGTTTGGGGGGTGCTCATAAAGCCCCTTTGGCCAAATACATGATTGGTTTTAACTCATGCCTGGAACTGGAGGCTTCATTTGGTGATGAGAGATGCCGAGCTGGGGCTTCATCTTCCCCATTATTTGGCAATTTCAACTAGACCATGTTTATATATGTATATCTTCTGGAAACTTTTACTATAATAGGTTTCCATACCACCTCAAATGGTCTTTGCTTTAGATGTCTGTCCCTGTTGTTTTTTTTTTTTTATCACCCTCCTCATTTGATCCTCCCATTCTATTTTTCTGCCATAAACATCCATAATTATTTATTCTATTTCCCCTTCCTAGAGAGATCTATCCCTCCCTCTAGTCCCTTACTCTATACTTAAAATCCATGGTTTATGTGGATTATAGCTGGATTATTGAAGACTTAACTGCTAACATTGACATATAGGTAAATACATACCATATTTGTTTGTTTTTTTTGGGGGGGGTCTGCATTATCTCACTCATGAGGATTTTTTTCTAGCTTCATCCATTTACCTGTGAATTTTATTATTTCATTTTTTCAACAGCTGAGTAATATCCCATTGTGCAAATGTAACATAACATTTTCTTTATCTATTCACCCATTATGATAAAAACGTAGAATATTTCTGATTTCTGGCTATTATAAATGAATGAATATGACTGAGAAAGTATCCCTGTGATAGGATGAAATGTCCTTTGAGCATGTGCCCAAAAGAGGATAGTGGATAGCTGCATCTAAAAGGTGGATTGATTCCCAGCTTCTGAAGAACTGCCACACTGACTTCCATAATAGCTGCACCAGTTTGTACTCCCACCAGCCATGGAGGCGTATTCCCCTACTCTACATCCTTGCCAGCATAAGCTGTCAGTTATTGAGCTTGGCCATTCTGACTGGTATATAGTCTATGTGATTTGAGTTTCCCTGATGACTAAGGGTGTTGAACATTTTTTAAAGTGCTACTCAGCCATTAGTATTTCCTCTTTTGAGGATTCTCTGTTTAAATCTGTAGCCAATCTTATTTTATTTTTGTCTTTTTAAGACAGGGTTTCTCTGTGTAATCTTGTCTGTCCTCACAGCCATTTTAAAAGTTGGTTTATTTCTTTTCTTGACATCCATTTTTTGAATTCTTTATATATTTTAGATTTTAGCCCTCCATCATCTGTATAGCTGCTAAAAATCGTTGCCTATTCTGTATCCTGCTTTGTCTGAATGATGCTGTCCTTTGCCATACAGAAGCATACAGTTTTAGGAGGTCTCATTTATTAATTGCTCTTATTACCTGTGCTAATGGTGTTTTGTTCAGAAAGTCTTTTCCTCTGCCAGCGAATTCAAAGCTATTTCCCACTTTCTCTTCTCTCGGGTTCAGTGTATCTAGTTTTATGTTGGGAGTCTTTGATCCATTTGAAGTAGAGTTTTGTTCATGGTGGTAAGTCCCAACAGAGCAATGGTTCTCAACCTTCCAAAATGGTGCAACCCTTTAATATAGTTCTTCATGTTGTGGTGACCCCAACCATAAATTTATTTTTGTTGCTAATTCATAGCTGTAATTTTGCTACTGCTATGGATCACAATGTGACTATTGATATTTTCTGATGGTCTTAGGTGACCTAATATAAAAGGGTCATTTGGCCCCAAATGGGTCATGACCCACAGGTTGAGAACCACTTCTATAAAATAAGTAATGTTGGGATATGATGCTTTTTTTAAATTGTTCTTCATAAATATTAAAATAGTATATCTCTCCAGTCTTTGTCCTTATGTGAATGCATGTATATGAATTATTCAAGCCATGTTTACAGACATATATATACATGTATGTATTGATATACACATATACAAACACTATGATATGTATATTTTCTTGCTTCAGAGTTACATTTTCCCCAAATCATATACCAGATAAGACATCTCATTACTGTTGCATAGGAGATTTTTTTTTTCTTTTCTCAGTGGAGGCTAGAGATGAAAAAGGCATATGACTGCCAAAAAAAAAAAAAAAAAAAAGTCAAAATACTTCATGACATTTAGCTTCTTAAAGACTAGGGAATTATCTTAGTACAGCTGAGAAGCTACATTCTACTTAAAACAGGTGAACAGGATTCCCAGCGGTGCCAAGCACCATCCCTCTGAGTAGCACACATTCAGAGTGTTAACAAGCTGGCTGGTTTTATGTCAACGCGACACAGGCTAAAGTCATCTGAAAAGAAAGAACCTCAACTGACAAAATGTCTTGATCAGATCCGATTGTAGGGCATTTTCTTAATTAATGGTTGATGGGGGAGGTCCCAGTGAAGGAGTGGTGCCATCCCTGGGTGTGGGTTCTATAAGAAAGCAGGCTGATCAAGCCACAAGGAGCAAGCCAGGAAGCAGCACCCCTCCATGACCTGTGCAGCAGATCCAGCCTCCAGGTTCCTGATCTGTTTGGGTTCCTGTCCTGGCTTCCTTCAGTGATGGAGTACAATGTGGAAGTATAAGCTAAACTTGCTTTTGGTCGTGGTGTTTCATGGAGGCAACTGAAACACTAATGGACACGTGATTGATTTTCCATCCCTCGTCCAGCTTTCCAGTTTTCATTCATGTAATATAATATTAAGTGTGAAATAATGCAACAATGGTAGCACAGGCTGTCCAGTGTGTATAAACCTGGAAGGAAGCTGAATATCCACCCCTCTGGCCCAGAAGATGCAATCCAGAATGTGCATGTCTGGCTCCTGAGCCAGTGAGAGGAAAAGGGCTCTCTAGAAGAACACTATGTATCATCAGTCAGAAGGGTATGGATCATAAAATAGGGCTCTGTCACTCCAGCGAAACACACCTCTCTCTCTACCTCCACACCCGTCAGCAAAGCTCACGGTTCCACACCTTGACTTCGGGTATCCAAAATATGGACACTAGAAAAAGCATTGGTAAGTGCATAGACAGTAATACTTTAGCATCCTTCCGACTTTGACTGCTACCCAACTCTGGATCTGTAGGAAAGGTCAAATGGAGGTGGGGTCAACACAGACCACCCACAAAGGTCTCTTGTTTGAAATACTTTTCTTGCTGATTTCCTCTCCTTCTAATCCCAGACATCTAGACAGTCACTTGGATTCAAAATAAAAATAAGGGAATAAAAAAAAAAAGTGTAAAATCAGGGCTAGTGACATAGCTCAGCAGGTAAAGACGTTTGGTGCCAAGCCAAGCCTGATGGATGGAGTTCAATTCCCAGGACTGTCTTGGTGGAAACTCATTTGATCTGGCCTCTGACTTCCACACAGAAAGGCATAGCACACACAACATCAATCAGACAAAGAAACAAATAAGTAAACACATTTAAATAAATGATATCAGTCAGATGAATAGATGAATGAAGGGTTTCAACCCCAGCTTTTAATATGTACAAAGTCCCTTTCATTGCTCTGGATCTCTAATTCTTACAGGTTAAAAACAAAAACAAACAAACAAAACGGGCTAGGGAGGCCGAAAAAAAATGGTACAGTTTAGGTGTTCTATTACAATGTCCCAACTGCAAGGAAGTGTAGAGAAGGAAGGATAATTCAGGTACAGGGCTGTCAGGGACAGGAGACGCAGCCACAGGCCATACACTTACCAATAATGACTGTGTTGTCATCAGCAATTAGCAACTTGCTGTGGACATAGATGAGCTCAGTGACTAGGTTTCCTTCCAGCTCTGCATGTGTTCTCAGGCCACAAAACGATATGTAATTTATCCACTGGTTACCAACTGGGAGTCAGAAAGAAAGTACTGAAATTAACATCGCCATGCCCAAATAAGGTACATCAGTTTTGTTGTTTTCCAAGACATATATGCCATTTAAGCAGGTTAATTAGAATACATATATACACTATTGTGTAAGATATATTATAATACATGCATAATATATGTATAACATGTATAAAATGATATTTATAATATGTAACATGTATATAATATATGTAATATATATTAATTTATTTTATAAAATTTAACCAGAAAATTTTTATGATACAGGAATGTATTTTAATAACTTGGATGACTGTCCTAGTTTCATTATGTTGCTGTGACAAAACATTCTGACCAAAAGGAACTTAGGGGAGGACAGGGTTTGACTTATTCTTCCAGGGCACAGTCCATCACTGAGGAAAGTCAGATCGAGAGCTCAGGGCAAGAGCTTAAAACAGGGACCAGAGGGACAGTTCTTGCTAGCTCATCCTCAGGCTTGTTCTCTGGCTCATGCTTAGCTCATCTCTTATATATCCTAAGGCCACCTACTCAGGGTTGGTTCAGGCCCACAGTGGACTGGGCTCTGTATATCGGTTAAGAAATAAGGACCATTCCTCATAGACACATCACAGGAGAACCTGAGGTGAGCAATCCCTCAGTCATGATTCCCTTTTTAAATGACTCCAGGCTATGTCATCAAAGCTAACTAGGACAATGAGTGACTACATTAAAAAAAATCACATTGGCTGGGCACAGTGGGGCAAGCCTGTAATCTCAGCACTAGGGGAGGCAGAAGCAGGCGGATCTATGTGAGTTTGAAGCTAGCCTGGTCTACAAACCAAGTCCAGGACAGCCAAGGCTACACAAAGAAACCCTGTCTCAAAAAAGAAAGTAAGTAAAGAAAGGAAGAAAGAGAGGAAGGAAGAAAGAAAAAAAGGACAGAAAGGAAGGAAGGAAGAAAAGAAAAAACAATTTTGAGATGTGTTCTGCCTTTGGCTGAGGCAATCTAGAAATGTACTCCAATCTGAGCCATTTAATGATTTGGTGAGTTAACTACTGAGGAGCAGAAGCAGAAGAGACAAAAGAGTTTGGTGTCACATCACAGCTGCTTCTGTCTCGGTTGGCACCTGCTGCGGTGCCAGAGGACAAGCACGCCTCAAAACCATAAAATGTATGTAGCATGTTCAGCACTAAACAGCGGTAAAATCTGCTGACTCCAGCTACACAGAAATGTTGCCCATTAGATAATCTTCCCCCAGAACAGGGATGAGTGAGCGCTGCGAGCCACTGTCTTCATGGCATGGGCACTGTACTGAGGCGCTCACGGCAGCTGCGCTTACCTGTGCAAGATGCACCCCTCAACATTCCGTTATGGATGGCAGGGGCTAATGAGGCTCCACCCTCCCTGAAGAGCTGTTGGCACTAACTGGTTACTCGAGAAAGAGGAGTCATTTTATTCAGTGGTGTGCCCACTGATAAGTTGTTCATGTTCCTGAAAGCAATGCTAATAGGTCTCAGTGAGGCACCGAAAAACTGAATAATATAAAAGCAGGCATGGCATTGGCTAGGCAGAAGTTGAGAAAAGGCAATAGGAAGGGAAAATGAAAAGATGTGTGCAAATGTCAAAGAATTTTAAAGAAGTCTCCCTTCTAGATCATTAATGTTAGGAGAGGAAATAAACTTTATTGTATTTGATACTGGAAGATTTTGTTTAGACCAAATGGCATCCGGCTTGTACTATAAATAGCTGCTCATTCATCTCACCATGTGACAAGACCTGCATTCCACACCAAACTATAATTACTACCACCATCGGAGTGTTGGTCATAAGGTTTTACGGTCTCCCTCCCTCACACTCTTGTCCTGTCCAAACAAAGTCTAAGACTCAGAACAAACAGAGAGGAACCGAGTTGTCACGAATCCTAAAAGGAAGACATTATGTCTTTTTCTTTAGGAGATTATGGAACATAGTAGTAGACCCCTTGGAAACTCAAGGCTCCATTTGTTTGTTGAGCTCTTCCCATTTATCATGTAGGTTTTCTACTTTGCCCTGGATGCTCTATTAAGTTCAGGTCTCTTGGAAAGAAATTCCTTGCTAGGTTCACATGGGGAGTCCTGCACTGACAGATCATCCTTCTCGCTGTGTGTGAATGATCTCAGAGCACTGACTGACAAAAAGTGTTGTGTTGTTGTAATGGTGCTTCGCATTACACCATTCTACAGACATGAAAACAACAGTTCTACATACATGAAATATTCACAACCCTTCCATGTGTTAATGTTACATTAGAACAACGTTTAAGTTCCAGGTGTGTTTAACCTGCAGCCAGCAGACTACATGAACCCTAGGACAGTTATGAACAAGCCCCAACACAAAATCACAAACTTACTTAAAATATTATCAGCTGGCGGGGAGGGACAATTTTTTTTGTAACTTGATTACACAATTCTCAGACTTACATTTTGTAGATGACAATCCTCCCCTTTAAAAAAAAAATCTCTAATTAAAGAGAGGAGAGTCCTTTGTGCCCATATAGTTCCTGGAAAATATTCCCCCAAATGACTGATTTTGACAGATATTGACAGATATTGTAGAATCCACTTCTGCACCAGTGCTGCGCCCCACAGCTTCCGTCATCATTGTTACTTGGGGCAATAGAGCGTGAGCTTCTGATACCCCTGTGTCACCAGGGGCTGCCTTGTGATCCAGAGAATACTGTTTTAAGACATAAAACAGCTTTCCAATGGCATCAGGAAGAAAAGCCTCTGCCAAAGTCAATATTTTGAAGCAAGGATTTTCTATTAAAAGTACACAAGCTACATTGAACAGAGGTTGTCAGTGTGCATAAGGCCCACCCTATCTTAAGACTTGGTAAAGGCAGATTACTGAGCATCATGTGTGGTTCAGAGGAAGATGGGCTGTGGAGGTGTTTAAGGCCCCAGGAAAGTTAAAGGGAGGAAGAGAAAAGAAGACAAGGCGATGGGGCAGAGGAGAAGGGAGAGGAAGGGAACACGGGGTGAAGGGACAGATAGAAATTGTCCTACAGACTGAAATCGGCGATGTGTCAGTGGGTAAAGGCTATTGCCTCACAAACCTGGCAACCAGAGTTTGATCCCTAGAATCCACGTAAAGGCTGAAGGAGAGAACTGACTGGTGAAAGTTCTCCTCTAGCTTCCACATGTGAAACATGGCATGTGTCTTCCCGCAATAATAATAAAACAAGTAAGTTATAGGAAGAATCTGAAAGCATTTAAAATTATTTTTAAGAGACGAGTTATACTGACTGGTTTCCGGCAGCCTGCATTTTAAGACGTGCCATAATGTATAGGGTCTGGAACTCAGGTTTGCGCCATTCCACAGCCTAGGGCATATCAGCTAAGCACCTGTCTGTCAGGGATGCCCAGACCATAGTCCATACCACCTCCCACTCTGCCTCACCTAGACAGTGAGGCTCACAAAAAAAAAAAAAAAAAAAAAAAAGGGGACATGAAGAGAAAGCTAACAGAACAGATTCTAAAAGAGGAGGAAGAGGAGGGAGAGGAAAAAGAAAAAGAAGAAAGAGAGAGAGAGAGAGAGAGAGAGAGAGAAAGAAAAAAGTCTTGGGAGAAAGGGGGCCCCATGGGGAATCCCAGTGTGGCCTGTGAGATGCACCTGTGATGACCTGAGCCTCACCTTTTACCCTTGTGTGTGACAAAGAAAACTGAGAACTGGCATTTTATTCTGTGAGGAAAGCCTACTTCACGTGAAACAAATGCAGAGTCAGTGGTGTTAATGTGTGCTACCAAGCTACAATGAGGAGCACGAGTGATTTTTGATGAACACCACTGTGAAAAAATGGAGAGACAGGTCCTGGGGAGGTTCCCAGACCATGTGTAATGGGATATGAGACTGTGAGACACCCAGTCTGGGACTAACCCTGATTGACACCGCTGTCTGGGTACCGGAAGGAAGATGGACTCCACACAAGTGCTGGATGTTTACAAGGCAAGCTTGAGGAAAACAAAACAAAACAAAACAAAACAAAACACCAAGAGTCATCACAGGTTTATTCCTTAAAATTGGAGCTTTGGGTATTTGTGTATTTATAATCCTGCTTGAATACCCCCGACCACTAATTTGCAATAACTTGGTCCTAAGGCCTAAAGTGCTATATAATTCACAAAAAAATTATCAAAAATGGTAACAAATGCTTTAAACCGAACGTTAAGTCTCTGGAGATTATCGGATCAGAGAATGACTGGGGCTGGGATTCTTTTCAAGAATTTTAATTTCGTCACAGCTGCAGCTTTGTTCAAAGTAACTGAAGCAGCGGCCTCTTGGAGCTGCAGTCCTGCACCCAATTAGAGATGAGGAAGCTGGGTCTGGAAAACCCACCTCTTGCTAACGAAAACAAAACCAACAGCGGGACCTTGCCTCGGAAAAGGGCACCGTGTCATTAATCTTTTCTCCCCATGTTTAGAATATGAACATTCCCCCACAGAGAGGCCTTTCTTTTTTACTTGTTCCCAGGGTCTTTAGAAACTCTGCCCCAAGCAGGCTTAACACTGAAATTGTTTCTTGTGTTAAAATCCAATTTATTTCTTCTGAATGGAAAAGGCGAGAAAGGGCCGAGAGCCAAAGAAAATGCTTTATTTAAGTGCAGGACGTTTTCACAGTTGAGAAACAAGCGGATAAGCTTGCTTTGATTCCTTCCTTTCCTGTAACTTCGCCTTCCCCTTACAAGCCTCCACCAGGCAGCATGGGATGCCTTTCCTACTCTGTTTTGTCAATATGTCTCTTATATAGATGGATTCATCAACCCGTAGAGATCAAGGTGACACTCTGGGACATCTGCTCTCTCCTGGGTACAATTGGGTGATGTGCATAACTATGTCTGAACAGACCATCAGTAAAAATTTCCTAAATACACAACACTGATAGACATGTGTGTGCATATATATTATGCCTGTAGGAGAAGTTTAAGCCTATTTTATTTACTGTATGTATGTATGTATGTATGTATGTATGTATGTATGTATCTATCTATCTATCTATCTATCTATCTATCTATCTATCTTCTTTCTTTCTATCTATCTGTCTGTCTGTCTATCTGTCTATCTAATCTATCTACTTACTTTCTTTTCTTACACACTTTCGAGAACAGTCTCTCTAGTAGCCCTGGCTGTTGTGGAACTCACTATGTAGACTAAGCTCTCCTTGAACTCACAGAGACCTGCCTCTGCCTCCTGGTTGTTGGGATCAAAGGCATGCACCATCATATCCAGCTAAGCCCATAGTTTTTAAAGCCAACAGATCCCCTAAAAATTCTATAAAAATTTCCAAAACTTCGATGGCATGAAATTTCTCCCTTTTAATTGTACAGTTTGGGGCTGAGGATAAAGTTCAGTGTCATGCTGCTTGCTTAGCATTTGCAGGGTTCTGTATTCGATCCCTGAAGTGCAAATAAATAAAGAATACAATTTAATAAGTGTTTTTTTTGTGGTTTTGTTTATTTGTTTGAAACAAGGTCTCACTATGTGGATCAGGCTAACATCCAACTCAAAGTGATCCATCTGCCTCTGCCTCCCAAGTGCTGGGATCAAAGGCATGTGATGACACACTTCACAGAGTTTTCTTTGAGGCAGATTTTTTTATGTTAATTTTCATGTATCTCAAGTTGTTCATGAACACGCCATGTATCTAAGGATGACCTTGGGTTCTGGGTGACCTGTATATCTAAGGATGAGAAGTAGGATGACCCTCCTCTATTTTCTGAATGCTTGGATTATAGATGTGCACCACTGTACTTGGCTTCCATGGAGCTGGGATTGAATCTCAAGCCTTTCACATGCCAGGCAAGCGCTGCACCAACTCAGCTACATGCCAGGGCCAATTCAGCAGATCTTTAAAAGGTATCTTTACAAAGCTATATAACCTCCACCACTACCTAATTCTAAGACATTTTATACCCCATGCCTATCTAATTGGCCTACCTACTCTCTCCAGTCCTTAGTAATCATTATAGGACTTTCTGTTGCTATGGATTTGCCTATTAAAGACATTTCATATAAATGTAACCATATAAAATATGGCTTCTTGTGCCTGGCTTCTTTCAGTTAGCCCAGTTTTTACAAGATTCACCCATATTGTAGCACATACTGTTTCATTTCTTTTTATACTTTATCAATGCTACTGTACCATTATGATGGACAGAGAATGACAGAGAAGGATACCCTGCCAATGTGCTTTTCTGGTCTTGATGTGCGCATACACATGCTTATAAAATGTATATCTTGGCAGCTATTGGACATTGTATGTTTTCCCTTTTTTGGCTACTTTGGTTATGAGCACTCACGTGCAAATTTTGTATAGAAAATTTCAGGCTTATATAGAACTGTGTCTAACGTCTGAGGAATTACAAAACTATTTTCAAATGACACTGTAACAATGTAAAGGAATTTTAATCCAGCAACATGGCTGCTGACATCCAAAGACCTTCTAGATCTGTGTGATCAGGCTGAAATACTGACACGTCCTTAGTACACATCTTTGATCCCAAACAATGAAAGTAAAGTTAGTTTGTAGAAGGAAGCACCCGTGTTTAAATGTGATGTCTAATTGAGAGGCAGACAAAGTGATTAATCAGAGAAAGATTTGAGAAAAATAGAATATGCCCAAATCTCACAAAACAGGAAGGAAAGAGAGGCAACTTAAGAAAGAGCAACACCGAAGGACATAGAAAGGGAGAGAGAGAGGAGGTAATTTTATTGAGAGAGTTTTACAGAGACAGGTTGAAGAGAGAACAAGCTAGACACATGTGAAGAAAGAGCCAGAGAATGAGAAGGAGCCAGAAGATTAGAACAGATTGCTGGAGTTAGTTTAAAGCCAAGCAGAGCAAAAAGTCAGAAGGTAAGAGAAGCCAGATTGAATCAGTCACCTTAGAGAGGAGTTTGAGCCAGAACCGCTGGGTTGAATCAGCCAGGCAGAGTTCAGAAAGAACTAGAAAGAGTGAGCTTAATCAGCAGTCAGTCTCAGAGGCTGAAAGCATTCTAGTCCTAGATTAGAGTTTACAGAAGCTAGAAGCTTCTGGGACTAGGCCTAGGTTAGCAGATGGAGGCAGTAAACTTCCAAAACAATTAGGCAAATAAAAGAAACTTGTACATACTAATTTGCATTCCCAACAGCAATGTATGAGAATTCCACTATTTATACATCTTTGACCTGATTTTTACTTTAACTTATCCTAGAGGGAGTAAAGTATCATATCGTGGTTCTTATTTGATTTTCCACAATGGCAAATGATATTTAGTAGTCATCTCTGTATCTTCTTTAAAATCAAGTATCTAGATATTTTTTATTTTTTAAAAAAATAACCTATTCTCTTTTATTACTGATTTTTTTTATAGTCTAGATATTAGTCCCTTATATATATGAGGAGGAAACATTTTCTCTCCTTTTTTTCTCATACACACTTAAGAACTTACTTCTAGAAAGAGCTGCAGCAGTGAAAGGTGATACTGGCTTTTGTTTCCTTCCTCATCTATAATTGTCTCAAAGGTTATAAGAAATGGGTATGTTGTAGGCTGTTTTCATGAAGTACAAGAAAGCACTACAGGAAACCACAGACTTCTGCATAAAGAGATGCAATAAATTCCTGCTGGCCTCATAGCACCTGTTTTTGTCATCTTTAAGACAGGGATGACCCAACCCAGACAGGGGTGTGGTAGGAGATGAGCTAAGAATACATACAGACAGTCCTTGTGAGAGCTCTCAGGTATTATCGAGATTATAAAAATAAACAAACCAATAAAAATTACAGAGGTTTTCCCAGTTTTCACTCTCACACCTCATGCGCAAGTGTTTTCATTGGAACATTGGTTTGGGCAATTTAACGAGAAAAAGTGAGCATTTTGTGAAGAGAATATGTGCACACACATACACACACACACACACACACACACACACACACACACTATGTGAGATTCACAGATCCCATGAGAGTTAATTTTTATTATCAACTTGAGATGTGTATATGAAGGGTTTTCTAGGTTAAGTTAGTTAAAGGAGGAAGATCTACTGTAGACGTGAGGGAGGCTCCAGACTGAATACATAGGGCAAAGGGTACACCAGCACTCCCCACTCCCTGCTCCGTGACTATGAACTCCATGTGACCAGCCTGCACTTTAAAGCTGTGAGCCAGAATGAATCCTCTCTCCCTTAAGCTGCTTTGTTAGGTATTTGTCACAGCAACAAGGAAAATAACTAATATATGCCGACACCTCACCTTCGTATCTAATGCTGGTAGCTTGTGGTGTTTCTAGAAACAGTCGCAGAGGAAAAGAGAAACACTACTTACGCTCTGGTTTCAGCTGTCCAAGGATGGAGTTCTCCCCTCTGCACATGGTTCTGAAAACACGGAAACGCCTAGTTACGGAGGCTTCCCAACAACCAAGTCTAATTGCAACACCTTCGGTGTGATCCTAACCCAAGCAAAACTGGGGCATGTCCTTTCACCAGAAAATGCTATGCCCATTTCCAAAAGTTAAAATTGCAATAGCAGGGTTTGTTTGTTTTTTGTTTGTTTGTTTTTTGTAATGTTACCGAAAAAAAAAACCAAAACAAGGTAGTTATTTTGAGGGGATTCAACAGAAGAGCTATAAAATTGATAGCAGGTTTCAAAAAAGAGAGATGGCTAAGAATGAACTTTCCCTTGGAAAAATCTTGTGACAGGGAAGATAAGTTTGGCAGCCTTCAGAGAGGACAGCATGTATAAAGTCATCCTGCTTTTTGGGGTGAGAAGGGCAAAGTCTTGGCAAGAGCATCAGAAAAGAAGCAAACTCTATCGTACGGGGTCATTTCCATCAAGTCAGCAAAAGCCTGTACATGTGGAAAAAAATATCGAGTTTTAAATAACTGTCTCTGTGGATGACTTTTGTTCCTCGGGACTGTTAAATATCGATGACTCTAACTAACGGAAGAGCAAGGGGCCCCTGAGGCCATGCCTCCCTGAGGCTCCATCATAGCTACAGGGAGGGAGAGACATCTTCTTCAGGGGTATGCCACCAAGATGTCCACACCTCCACAAACCACCCCTCAGGCCTGCACCCATAAACAGCATAGTGGAACTCACTAGTTCACAAAAGAAAGAAGAAAGGGAAGCGGAAGAGCCTAGCTGGGAATAAGTAGGGGATGGCCTCAGTGAGAGAAGACAAAAGAAGAGGGGGTGTAGGTATAATCAAATTATATGCATGTAAGAAAATGTTATAAGAAATCCATTTTTATCTATAATTAGTATGTGCTAAGAAGGACTTTAGAATTTAAAACAGAAAGGGGGGAAAGTCTACGTTCGATCTGCCTGTTGTATAAAAGTAATTAACAATAGAGCTGATAGCCTTCAAATAGGGGTGTTTTTTTCATAATGAAAGATTATAGTTCGGGTTTCTGAACACAGCCAAATGTGTATTTCATTCACCTGGTTCAAAAAAAAAATCAAGAAAACAGTCATAAAAAATAATCACAACTAACAATACTCCAAAAGTAATGTTTGAATTTCCAAGAAAGCAGATAGAGCACAATTAAATATCATGTAAGTGACATGAGCTCAAGGAAAAAAAAAAAAAAGTTTTGGTTTTGTACTTTCAGATAACATTAGATATGAACCCATCTTCAGTCAAAATACTTAGACCAAAGGCAGTCACTGTACCCAGGTGAATTTACCCCTGGGAAAACATTATCAGCACCAATATTTACTTGAAATCCTGGCAGATATACAAACAAGCTGGAAGAGTCCGTGGAAAAAGAACCAACTGCTGGGCATTGTGGAACATGCCTTAATCCCATGCATGAAGACCTGGGCTCTTCCCCTGCTCTGCAAACCAGGCATGGCGGCACACACATGTATAATTACAGCACTTAGGAGGTGGAGGCAAGAAGATCAGAAGTTTAGAGTCATCCTCAACTACATAGGGAGTTCAAAGCCAGCCTGGGCCAGGTGAGGCTTAGCAGCAAATATGGCCACAACCTCCCACAATGGCACCCTTCAGCTGCATCATCAGAATCAGCTGCAGTCCTCTGAGGACAAGCAAGGGGCCTATAACCCATTATCCAAGTGTGGCTTCCATCCATGATGCAAAATTTGGGCACCTGTAGTTGAAGTGCATTATCGCCTGTAGAGCATTCCCTCCGCCTGTGGAAATGTCTCCTTCGAATCCTGGCAGCAGCGGTATCACAACGTACACCCGATATCTCTGGCCTTCCCTGCAAAAGCCGCATGCAGAGAAATTCACCAAATTAACAAACAGACAAACAACTAAACAAACAACAAACAAAAACCAGTTTCATCATCAGCCAAGCAGGCTTTAAAGCAGGGGCTTTAAAGAAAAAGAGAATGCTTCCCACAACCTTCTACTCTCAGCTTGGGTGGCTCGTGGATGGCGGCTGTCACTACGCAGCATTAGGCTGAACGATAAACTTAATTTGACAGTAAAGTGAAAACTGTGTCTGCATTCTCTTATACACTCACAATCCTTTGCAGGACAGAAGTCGGTTTCAAATGAGTCCTGTCCGGTCTCATGGAAGAGGGCGTAGAAAGGGCCTTCTAACAAAGTTATTGCAATAAGACTATCCATCTCTATCGCTGACTACAAATTTAAATCAGATTTTATTTTATTTAAATATATGTATCATATGTAGATAGATAGATAGATAGATAGATAGATAGATAGATAGATAGATAGAGGACAGACAGATGGAGTTACAGTCATAGGGATGCAGTCCACAGCTCGGCAGGTTGTAGGCATTCCATTCATAACTGTGGGGTTCCCAATGCCCATGTCTCAGAAGCAAACATTCACACAGGATGCAGCGTATTTTCCAAAACAGAATCATCATTGTTTAGGAATGCTGAGGTTCCAGCCACAGAATGTTACCATGGATTCTTCAAGAATTCTGAGTGACTAATCTCAACTTCTATTTTATTTTTTAAATATTTATGCACGCACATGCCCCTGTGTGTGTGTGTGTGTGTGTGTGTGTGTGTGTGTGTATGTATTTGTGTGCGTGTGTCACAGAACAACTTGTTCTCTCTTTCTACTACGTAAATCCTGGCGATCTAACTCAGAATATCAGCCTTGGCAGCAAGTACCTTTATTGGCTGGGTCACCTCAGTGGCCCTTATTTTATTTTTTGAAAAATTATTATTGTGTGCATGGGCATAGGGACACATACGCTACCGCTGAGCGCATGGAGGTTAGAGAACAGCTTTATTGAATTGTTTCTCTCCTTCCACCTTTTTCACATGGGATCCCTGGATTGAACTCAGGTCAACTAGGCTTGTGTGGCAAGCACCTTTGCCCACGGAGCCAGCCCCAGCTAGTGTGCATTTTAAAATCCCAGCATATGCAAAGCAGTATCTTCAGGTCACCTTTCAAAGGAAAATGAAGCTACTTATCGAGAGCTCTAACAATAAAAGAAAGTGTAGCTCTCTTGTTTGACATGTAGTCAGAAACCCAGAATACCATGCTCCGATGGGCATGTCTGACCTTTTGGCCCTGAAGAAGGACACTGTCATCTACTAAGGTCATGCTGGAGAATGGTTCAAAAGAGTCAGGGAAAACCTTTCTCTCACGAGGCTTTGTGTAGTCTAACATTGGCATCAGGCTGTGTTTGTAGCTGTCCGTGGCCACAGGCTGGATAGCCCACTAGGCAGCACTTACTGTGAGAGTCCCAACTATTAAAGCCTCTGGCTTTGTTGGGAACACACAGGAAGAAGAGGAAGCTTGGAAATGTTTGACGGTGGGAACCCAGTTTGCTCTGACACAGTCGGGATGCTGGCTAATTCTCAAGTGTCATCTGCTTAAAACCTTTTTCAACACTTAATTGCCGCAGCTCATCTTCTTAGGAACAGCGGAAGAGTCCCTTCTCGTGAGAGTTTTCACTACTCCGATGGCTCAGACCTGACTCTTTGTGTCTGAATTGTTCTTATATTCAAGGCAGTGTGTGACAGAAGTCCAGTCCAGGGACAGGAGAGAAGAGAGCCTGGCTGGGCTGCTGTAATGCCAAGGGTTACTCACTAGATGGCGAACATGGTTTGGCTTGGGAAGACTACAAAGCCGTGAGCGGCCCTAGTTATCTGCTTGATTAGGGGAGAAGGCAGTCTTTCAGTGGTAAACAGGACAAGGGAAAGAGCAGGAAACCCTAAGATATTTTCCCACAGCCAGCACTGAAAAGTCCGGATGAACGCAAGGGGACATTTAAGGTCGCACACTGCATTTTTAGCCAAAACCATCTCACACGAGAGTGTGAGATCCCCACACTCTTGTGATGACCACTGTCCCCCACCTCTGTTCATGAAACTTGGCGGTTCAGCTCCTACCCCAGAATGGAGGACACTTCAGGTCACCTCACTCGGCGAAGCTACTTGCCTCTTCTTTCCCACAGACTGCGGCCAGGAACTGGACCCACAGGCTCCGCGCCTTGTTCATTAGTGACCAGCTCATGGCCTGCCCCAGCACACGGAGCGGATGCTCGCATAGCTTTCTATTTTCGGCAGCATTCAGTAAAGAACCCACACTCTAAACGAACACTGTTGGCCGGGGGGTGGGGGGTGGGATCAGGTTGAAAGAATGTTTCAGCGGAGAACAGGTCAAGCTGTGCTTGATGTTTTCTCTTTAATTGCATTTAATCTGAATTTTCATTACGGTAAAATAGGTAACATGCAAAACTGGGCATTTTGCCCATTGGAAGCATGAGAGTCTTCATCACTAATTGTGATCACAAATTTATCTGATTACCTTCCCTATCCAAAGCTTTTCATCATCACAGATAGAAATTTCCCTCCCCAGAGTGCTTGGTGGTCTCTAGTTTACTTTGTTTGTATGAATCGCTGGTCTGGATTCCGCATATACGTGGAGTCACATGCCGACTTGTCCTTTTTGTCTAACTTGTTTTACCCTTGAGGTGCATTCAGACTATGGCCGTGTCAAAGTTCCTTCTGCTTTGTGGCTGAATAATATTCTATGTTACGTATAAACTTTGATCTGCTAGTGGGCAGTTGGGTTGTCTTTGCCTTATGGGTATTGGGAATAAATCTGCTATTACTATTGCATTATTAGGCAGGGCTGGTGGGACACATCTTTAATCCCAGCACTCAGAGGCAGGTGCATGTCTGGGAATTCCGGGCTGTCCTGGTCTACACCGTGAGTTCCACCCCAGCTAGAGCAACAAAGTAAGACCCACCTCAAAAAACCTCACAAATACCAAAACAAAAACAAATTCAGTAGTCTGCATTGGCTAACATTGTGTCTGTTACCTCATTCTCAGTTCTTTGTGGGTGTGCACCCAAGAATGGAAATATCGGGTCACAAGGCTATTCCATGTTTAGTGCTCCGAGGAGCCAACAAATAAATCATACTTTCCAGTGATTAACACAGTGTGACATTTATTCACTATAGAGTATACAGAGAAGACAACAACACCGTCCCTCCTTTTTGTCCCTACCTCTGTTCCCTTCACTGAGAATCTTTCACTCGTGACCTCGGTGGTCCTGAAGACACCGTCCGTGATCTAAACACATATATGCATCTTCTCCACATGGTTAGCATGCTGTGAATGCGCTGAATGATTTTTTTTTTAATCATTTAATGGTACATCCCAGGATCCCTTGAGACATGAGAACACAACAGGGACAGGGCAGTCTGCTGCATCCCTGACCCTTATTATTTAAACCAGCACTCTGTTGACAGGAATTAAAATGGCGTCTGACTTTATGTATGTGAAACAATTACTTCAACATAAATATATATACATACCGATTATATATATAAATATGTACTGATGCAACATAAATCACTCCTTGGCACCGTTGCTCTTGAAGGCCCAGTCTTGGTGATATTGCTTGTAGGAAATCATTTCCTGTGGTCCCTGAGGTTTGCATAACGCAAAAAATGACTTTAAAATGGAAAGCCCGTGTGAAGCTGGAGACCCGGCCTGTGAAAATGCCATAAAGCATTTCTGCAGACGGTGCTCTGTGAGACTCGACCTCCACACTACCTTGCCTCAGTGCTATGGAGGCCTTTGGCAGCTCTTGATGCGGTGGCTCTCAGCTTCATGCGTGATGGAAATGTTAGGCATGTTCCACAAACTAGCGGAGATGACTTATATTTTACTGCTGTTGAAAAAAAGGGGGGCACTCTGGAATTTCACCTACAAACTTGAGGCCGATTGGAAGCCAATGAAGGGAAAAGTGGGTGTCAGTATGCCTAGTCCTTGGAATTTCGGCTGTTAAGGTTCCAGTCTCTCTGCAAATGGCACTTGCAGAACATCTGCAGCCCTCAGGGAATAAGTCCCTAGCATTCAAGTTGGCTTGCTTAAAAGCAATACGCAATATGAGAGCTGGTAGGCAGCAAGCTGTGAGTAATGTCCTGTCAAATGGGCAGTTGCTTTCCCACCCCACTTAACATATAATCTTACAAAATTACATCTTAAAGATTCTTGCTAACATGTTTTTCTTTTAAAATTCATAAACTCTTATAGCAACGTGACATACAAGAGCTAAACAATGATGTTTAGCAATAGAAAGACAACTACATTATGTTATAGCCACTGGAACCACTCAGCAGCAAAATATTTTCAGACACCATGTTTAAAATGGCACCAAACAAAGCAGTAAGACAACACAAACACAGTGGCTAATTGCAAGATGCCCAGTCAACTAACTCTCTCTCTCTGTCTCTGTCTCTTTCTGTCTGTGTGTCTAACTTCCTTGTTTGGTACCTGGAACTGTGAAGCAGGCATTGCTCCTAGGGTGGCAATGCAGAATGGAACCTGGGCACACAGATGTATACTTTCGAAACCCCTGAGAGCTGAGGCAGGGGTATAATAAAATAAGATCAGGGCTGGAGAGATAACTCAGGGGTTAAGACTCCTCATTAGTCCTTTAGAGGATTTCAGGTTCTAACACCCAAGTCAGATGAGGCTTATAGCAACTCCAGAGGATCCTATGCCCTCTTCTGGACCTTTCAGGAACTGCACTAATGTACAAACACCTACAGAGACACACATGCATGTATACAAATAGTTAAGTATTGCCAGATGGTGGTAGTGCCCGCCTTTAATCAATCCCAGAGGCAGGGATCAAACTCAAGAGGCAGAGGCAGAGGCAGGCACCCTAGTCTACAGAGTGAATTCTAAGACAGCTGAGGCTATTACACAGAAAAACCCTGTCAAAAACAAACAAAAAACAAAAATAGTAGGTCTTA